TTGCCCCCCCCCCCCCCGTAACCAGCTGTTCCAAGCTCTGCCAGTCAACCGAGAATGTGATGTGGAAATGGTAATTTCATCATTTCTTTCAGCCCATGGTGAGGGTAACACAGGAGTCATATACAGGCTCCTGTGTTACCATACCAAGTCACATTGGAGCCCCTTCCAGTCTGGGAAATTACAGCCAATTATTCCCATAAGAACCTTTCTTGTAATGCAGTTTCACAAGCATTGAAAATAAGAATCAGGGCTTTCCGAGAGGATGTGGAGTTGCCAGATACGGGGGTCTGAGGGGGATGTGCACCTGAAGAAAAGTTTTGGCTCTAAAAGCCCAAATCTGGTGGCCGTGGATTTCCACTAAAACGCTGTGAGACAATCTAGTATCGGCAAGTCAGCAAAAGAAAGCTGTCTGCTGGTTGTCATCTTTTGGTTTGTAGTGTATTTTGTCTTAAAGAGGGAGGGGCAGTTACTGCAAGTGATGCGAGTAACTTTAAGGTTAAATGAAATAGAAAGTGTGTTGTCGGATAGTTTCTGTCCAGTCAGTCACACTACTGTACTTCCTATATTGGTTTGATGACCTGAATGTTGATTCCTGAAAGCGTAACTCTAATGACTTATGACTTTAATAACCACAGCTATTTGCATCTTGTTTGAACATGGCGTTTCTTTGACTAATTTTAATTTCTATGTGCCAATGGACTGATATCGACCTGAATGCAGCTGTTTTCTTTCATTATTTTAGCACTTCTTTAGACAGATGTTAGGGTTAGGGTTGTCTATGTCATCAATAAGAGTTTGAGAAATACTTTGAATACTTAATACAACTATTTTGAAATATTTAGTTTGGTAAAGGAAGCGGTGTTAAAGTAGTTGGCATAGCTTTAAGTTCTGCTTTTATTACATTNNNCCCATTCAAATGTTTTTATATTTGATGTGCTCCTGACAGTAGAACAAAAAACTATAAACCTCTATGAAGGCCATGTCATAAAGGCAATGTACCATGAAACTGACAGAAAATAACAGGATGCCCAACACTAGTATAACCACTACCCTTTTTTTTTTTTTTTTTTACTCATATCATCAACTTTAAAACCCGGAGTACCAGCAGCTACGTCATATCAGCCCGTTTGGTTATTGCAGAGGACCAGACCTACTGGAAATCCCTGCTCATTTTATTGGTTGTTTGATTTCAAAAACCACACCCAAATATGTGCGATCTGGTTCCCTTTCAAGTCTGACATCCTTTCTTTCTCTCCCACTGCGTCACTGTTGAGTCATTTTATGTTTTCAGTGTACTTAGTTTTTCACACATTAACGCTTAAGAAATGTGACACAGTATCTGTAAGGAAGTCGCCGCACCCACCTGCAGCTGATTCATCCGAACATTGCCCTTAGCCAAGAGATTCCCTGAATCAATGACAAGTGTTTAGTTTCAGCACGTGTCAGCTCTGCTGCTCTACGGCCAGGGGAGGGGAGGATGGTACATCAAAATATATATCTGAATTTTAGAGCATGTGTCACACAAGAGCCCTGTCCTGCCTTCTGTAGTTTTTACCAGATCATTTTTGGTAGCTAGTGTGTCCTTTTGCTGTGCTTTGGTATTTTTACTGCTTTCTTCCTTTTTTACAAATTTCCCAGAGTTTGTTTGTCAAGCTGCACCAAGCAGTTCCCGTCACAGATAGTAATAACAGTTAATGAATGACACTGTTGTTCACAGATATGCTATAACTGTTTTCTTCCCCTTGCCTGGCAGGAGTATGTTCGAGGACTCTGCGACCCTGAACTGCAGAAAGAGGAGTGGTATCCAGTGGACATGCACTGTATTTTTGCTGGTGCCCGGGGCCTCTTCCTGGACAGGCTCATACGGGACACAAGTGCTGAAGTTCTGGTGCCTGAGCCTGGCCGCCTGCGGTTGTTGGGCAGGGCTGAACCCGTAGTGATGGCCCAGAGCAGAGTTCAGCAATTCGTAGCACTATTCCAGGTAGAGGCACTAATAATCTGAGATGGCACATGATTTTATTACACAGTAGTTGAGTCTGTAACACACAAACGAACATCGCACCTAAAGAACCTGAGAGCTTTAGAGGCAGAGGACTGTACATTTTAACTGGAAATCTAGTATTTAAGAGAGCAACTTTCTTAGTCACACTGAAAACTTTAAATTATTCCAAAGTAGAGCTGAAACTTGATTGATCGGTAACTGATTAATCATGTAGTCAATCAACAGTAAATTAATGGCCGATTTGCTGCTTCTCTTCATCTTATATGACCGTAAATGTGGACTTTTGGTGGGACAAATGAAACCCATTGATCACCTTGAGCATTGGGAAATTGCAATGGACATCTTCCAGTATTTTCTAACATAAATTGACCATATGATTAATAATTGAATATACAAATGAATCAGCAGTAATGTAAATGGCTTCATCCTATTTAAAAGAAAATAAATAATATTCTACATTTGTGTGTTTGTATCCAGGAAAAACGAAGTCTACCAAGTGACAGAGAGCCTGCAGTGAAACGAGCGTTCAAGTCCTTTGTGGAGGAACGGGATGATAAATACACTATGGAGCTTCTCCTGCTGCCCAGTGCCCTGAAGGAAGAGTTACTGGGGCTGGCTCATAGCCCCACTACCACAAACACATTCTCCCTGGTTAGTGTACAACTTTTTAAAAAAAATGATTTATTACAGTACAGTATAACCACTGTGTGCCTTTTGGGTAATAGCCTGTGAGATTTTAGGCTCATTTCTTTATCATTCTACACCAGGTTGTACAGCAGAATGCAAGCTGTGTTCCCTGTATGCCACACACAAAACAAAACACAATATTATTGATGGTGGAGGATGAACTGAGGAGTCTGAGTCTGAGGAAAGAAGCTGCTCTGGAGTCTGGTGACCCAGCTGCATTTATGGTTTTTGGCGTTTGGCATTAGGATGTAGTAAAGAAAGTACATCTTTACATAGTTCGTGTCTTAGGTAGATGCATTGGAGTGACATATCTCCACCCTGTCGAAAGGGAATTGAAAGGACCAGTGTGGCATCTAGTGGTGTAGTTTCAACTCCTTCGCTTCACTCTCACCTCCAAGCATGAAGAGCGTGACTATGGCGATAGCGCTTCTCAATTTCAAATGATTATACACTAACTGACACTAATACTTGCGTAGAATGTGAGATATCACTAATATATTAAAAGTCTAGTATATCTGTGTGGGCGGGGTTGACTTTTGCATATAAAAATGTGTGTGTCCCCTCACTGGAGTTGCTTTTTGGAAATATTCAGATTTTGCTGTGAAATTAAAATTTTGGCAGCTTTGAAGTTAGAGAATTAACAAGCGAGTGTTTAAAGAAACCCTGGTTGGAGGAGGAAGAACTGCACAGAACAGGTGAGGATTTGGCTTAAATGAAAGTAAAACCGCAGGAGAAGGAGCTGCTGATGTGACAGCCACCTCCATGCCCACAGCAACTCAGGCGACCTCCTACTCCAGAGCCACACACACACACACACACACCATCACAGTTGTCTTCCCTGAATGAGCCACTCACCCAACCTGTACTGGGATCATTTCCCAAACTCTCATCTCAGGAAAATCCCTGTTTTTTTTGTCCGGACGATGACATGATAAATTCTAGTGAATGAAGCACAATTACACAACATGCTGTCTTTTGTTAGGTCTGTGGGTATTTTCCAAAGGCTCGCACTGATTGGACTTTTGCAGGAACTGGATTTAGTGACTGGATATTGACAGGAATAGCTTGCTCCAAACATGCAACTATGCTATCTAAATGGGCAAAGCAAAGCCGTGGGCCACAGAGTCATGGCACTGTTATAAGTATATAAATTCATTGTGACGCTAGAAATATGGAGTTTACAGAAAGAAACTCGGCATGTTCAAGTGGCATTTGATCATTGATATACTGTACACCAAACAAGACATTCCACTCAGAGGACACATGGAGACAGAATGGCTCTAAATCGAGGGAACTTTTTGGAGTTCATTTCAAAATACGACCCTGAAGTCGAGACCGGGTTCGGCCGCTCGAACCATTGAAATGGCACTATTATGAACCCGGACATACATACTGAACTGTATGGTAGTGCAGGCTGATGAATGCAAAGATAAGTGGTTGATGTGTGTGTTCACTAGATAAAAGATGGAGTGATAAAAGAGAGGGCTGTTGGGTTTGTCAAAGCAGCTGACATGTCAGCAGAAGGAATTTCACAGAGGATTCTCAAAGTGCTTAACACACTGGATTTGGACCCGGCTCTCTGCATGGGTTTCTGCTCTGACGGTCCTTCAGTTGTTACGGGAAATGGAGGAAGGACGAGCGTCGTTTAAACAAAGTCTCACTCTCCTTTATTTGATCCCAGTGGCAAAAAGGACTGCAGCCTTCAACGTTATCTATAAAAACAGTCTGATTGAAAACCTCAAGACTGGCTGTCCAGAGATAACGCTGAAAGAGGAGCTGTTGATGTCACGGCTTCACAGCAGCGGAGCACGCCAGCGACGCTGACTGTGTTGTTAAAAGTAGGACAATCATTGAGCATCAAGTGCAACAGCTACGTACAACAGATGTGGAACAGTATTCTGGACAGGCAGATCGCAGAGCTGACCACCAGATCTCAAGAAGACACGTGGGTTGCTCATGCAGACAGCGGCGTGTCGTATGGCGTGTCAGAGTCAAAAGCCAAACTCACTGAGCAGCTGAAACACAAAATAAAATTGGGGAATGTCCCAACTGTTCTTCTGTCATGTGTGTACTTGACAGTTGCACCCAAGATGTTATCCCGAGAATAAATTTACTCATAAGGGTCATTGCCAACCTTCCAATGACACTTCACAGTGTGGGGAGGTTAAACCGCTTCTCCGGTCATCAATGAGCAGCACTGTCTGAGCAACTTGACTTTACTGTCATTGCAATGAAATCACCTCCATATTCACCCCCCCACAACCCACCCATGGTAAAATGAATACTGTGGTCATTAATAATGGATATGATGCGGTCACTGGAGTTTTAAGATTGCTGACTTGTTTGTCACTGTGTGTTAACAGAAATAAGTGAGCTGCTTCATAATCTCAGCTATCAGTTTTTACTTGGAAAGCTTATCATAACCGAGTGCTATAGAGCAAGTGTTGATTTAAAAAAAAGAAATGTTTACCTTTCTTTTGTTGTTTTCTGGTATAGCAGGATGTTCATAGAAAACAGAGACAAAAAGTAATGCTTAGGCCAATCCAGTTTTTTTCCAGCCCTGTCCAAACGTCTGCCTACGCCACTGCTGTGAAGGCCTGTTTGTCCTTGGCTGCAGGATACCTTTTATATTAGTCACAACAAGGCAGGTTGTTTTTGTTCCTGTTCCACAGAAAAACACTCCTCTCAAAGAACTCTACATTTCGTAAATGAAACAAAGCTTGTGACATGTGTTTCTGAAAGCTGACATTGTTCTCTCTTTGTTATAACCTGATCAATGAATATGTTAATTATAGGCTGTTTACAGGGTGGATTAACATAAAGCCCTATTTAAATCAGCCCATCACAGAAATGTATGATATTATCATGTAACTGTGCCGTTTTTCTTGTGCTTCTTTCAGTTGCTTTGACAGTAGGTTTCATTTTAACTTGCAACTTTCTAACCCTTCAGTGTGAATTGATTAAACTTGCAAACATTCAAAAGTTTATAAAAGCTTCTTTGTGTTACTTTGCCACTGTTACTTTTATGCATTTAGCAGCCGTCTAATTCAGAGCAACTTATGAAGCAGCAGTAGAGTTGAAGTCAGATCATTTTGGCAGCTGTGCAGAAAGTAGAAGAGAGAATGTATGCCTCTTTATCTGTGACACAAACTCTGGTTTTGGTAAGGAGAACCATGTAGTGCACACAGGGAAGTACAATATAAATAATGAATGAGACAAGTGTTCATATTTCAGGGGAATTTTTACTGTACTTTCTCAATTGTGGTTATTAAAGTGACTGTCTTTGTGTTTCCTCTCTCAGGCTCAGCTCAACCAGACGCTGCATCCCAGCATGCCAGAGGTCGACCAGGACCGCTCACAGAGTAGCACCCCTGTGACGGAGCTCTCCAACCGCATCCTGGACACCAGCTTCGAGGAGCGAGGGACCGGAGCGGCGTCTGTCTGCGGAGGCGGTAAAGCAGGAGGAGCGATAGGCTTGGGTCCAGAGGCCGTCCTGCTCAACGGCACTCGGCCCTCGCACAAGCGGCGCTCATCTGATAGCGAGACTCGGGACACAAAGAGACAGTACTCTCTGGAGCGGAGGGAGGAGTCGCCGGAGAGAGCGAGAGAGCGGGAGCGACAGAAGGACAGAGAAGGCCGGGGGGCCAGTAGCAGCTGTAGATCCAAAACCCCCTCTGCTTCATCGTCCCTCTCCTCTTCAGCAAAAGCAAACACAGTTGTCGGTCCGATCATGTTGGACTCCAATGAAGGAGTCTTTGATGACGGGGAGACAGTCAGCCCAGAAACCAACCTCCGTTGCTTGGTCAATTTCTTCAGGTAAAGGTCATACTAGCTAAGGAAGTGATTGCTAGCCAAGTAGTAGTCGTTTGTCAAGTAGAACTTTAGTTATTTGTATCAGGTTGTACAGGGTTTCAGATAAATGATGAACCTATTGTTTGTGTTTTGTTATGTTAAAGGATAGGTTCACATTTTTCTGTAATTGTTCCTCCTGTCCACACTGGCTGTGAAAGATGTACCTTCTTAATGTGATTTCAATGTAAGAGATGGGGATCAAAATCCACAGTCCAAAATACATTCTAATGTTCACCTGAAGCTTCAGCAGACACATGCTGATGTCTTTGTGGAACATTTTCATTGTGTGTTCCTGGGCAGTGTTTCCTTGCTGAGTGGGATAGTAACAAAATGAGGGAATTTTGTACTAAAAGGACTTTTTTGCTTGAGTTGTCCATCTCAGGTTGCTAAAAACCTCATATTAACTTTAGCTGAAATTCAGAGCACAAAATATGGAACTGCCCCCCCCCCATCTCTTACGTTGGAAATGCATTGAAATTGGATAACGGCTTTAAACATTGCGAACCTATCCTTTAACTCTGCAACACTTCTCTTACTGCCTCACTTCCTTCTGCCTTTTCTTACTGAAATATTCGTTGAAACTCAATTTCTTCAGAACCATGGGCTACCAGCAGGAAGTGGTGGAGCGTGTTGTCAAGGACACGGGACAGACCGAGGATACCTTCCTCGTTCTGGAGAAAATCGTTGAGGAAACCAAGCGTTGTGAAGAGGGGTCAAAGGGAGGGGTAAAAGAAAGACTGAACTCTGTGCGTTCCCCAGACACTCCATCCTCATCATCATCGTCGTCCTCCTCCTCCTCTACGATCCCTCGATTCCCTCGAGAGATGGAGCATGAGCTGAGCAGGGCGTTCGTAGACCCGGGCCGGTCCAAAGAGAACATTAAGCCCAACCAGCATGGAGGCAGTAGTAACGGTCTGGGGCACCGGAGGCAGTGCAGCGGCAGCGAGACCAGCACTCAACAGGTACTTTTTACTTTTTAATAAGACATTTCAATTTAATATAGCCCCACGGACCTTGAGGTGACAGAGCAAATCTCCAATTTTAAGTTCTTGGCTAAGTGTGAAGTTTGAAATAAGAATAAAGATCAAGAGCAATATAGTCTAGATGTAGACTGAGTTGCTCTGATACATTTCAGATAGTGATACATGGAGTACGTTGCCATGTTTTTATTTTTTTTATCCATATACGTCTGCCATTAATATACCTGGGTGACCTGCCCAGATAAAGTCTATGTATGGTTTACACTGTCACCTCATTTACATCTCTCATATCTCAGCTCCCATGACACATCAAGTCTGCTTCTCCCCATTTTATCTTCATGATGATTTCTTCATTTAAAAACAATTTCCAATAAATCGCTTCGTATCTTATGACTCATCTGACTGGATCTTAAATATTGTTTCTGTTATCTCATCACATTTCACACCTCATTTCATTGCTCATTTCGGCAGCAGGCCTCAAGTTTATCAGTGAAGCGCCTCACCTATGGTTCGACAATATGGATACATTTATTATCGTCAGAATCATAAGACATCGCTTTCCTATTGATGAAGACTATCTGTTTACAAATATATGGTATATATGTATAAGTATGATAAAAATGTAATATTTTCAAATGATGAGACAACAGAATTGTGTAATGCATGCTGGTTTACTCCCAAAATAAGAAAATAAAAAAAACAATCTCATTTCAGGCCATCACTATCAAGAGGAGCTCTAGTGCTCAAGGAGGAGCAGGAAACTACGAGGTTATTACCATTGACGATGATGACGATATCATCCCCACAAATACCAAAACAGCCGATAGTAGGACGTCCCGGATGATGAAAGTGGCAAACCTGGACACCCAGTCAGGATCCAGGACAGACTACTTGGCGCGGGGAGGGGGCAGCGTCTCCCAGAGGGACTACCTGTCGAGAGGTGGGACCCAGACTTTGGGAGGATCAGTGAAAGTTGAGAGTGTGACAGCGCTGCGCAGCACGCCTCAGTGGCATACTGCCACCACCACGTCATTAGCTTTGACCCCCAGTGTAGGTATTACCTTAAAGCCCCGCCCTCCACTCATACATGTGTTTTGCATATTGTTACTTCACTTTTGTCCTCCGCTGTGCAGATTGATGCATGTGCAAAGTTTGCCACAAGAAGACTGTTTTCACATTCATCTGCTGAAGGAGGAAAGGTTCTCTGTGCTCAGCTTAAATCTGAAGACATTTAACTACGAAATCATTTGTGACACTAGCTTGAAAGCCAGTCATGGTGCGATGTGCAACTTACACAAGTGTAGTGTGGAAACCTGAAGCCTCCAGTGTACATACATTGAGAATGGACTTTACAGTGAAGTAGGAGACATCTTGTGTCTAAATAGAGAGATTTATTAATCCACATGGGGAAATTCAGGTATCCAGAAGCTCAGACTGGTCGCATACAAATATATAAATTCTACGTCAAAAGTAGTAACGGGTTAAAAACAGACAAAGAATAAATGAATAAATAAGATAAAATAAATAAGATCCTTGATGGAGGATGGGTAGGTAGAGAGACGGGACAGAAGAGAGCGGGAGAGATCACAAGCAGTAAAACCTCTGAACTGAAACATATTTGCATATTTATATGCAATGAGGGAGTAGTAGATGTAGTTTTAAGAATTTTTCAAAATGATCATCAAAAAGACATCACAGACGATATGATTCAAAGCATAAAGAGTATTTCTATATGTCTTAAAATATGTCTGGAGGCATGTTGCTGCAGTGTTAGGGGTGTTAACTTCCTAGTTTCTTGCTGAATTTGGAAATTTGGATATCCTGGGTAAGTCTGGGAGTTTGACAAGCAGCCGTCATAGAATTACTTCACAATTACTGAGTTTTAGCTCGTATTGCTAATAATGAGTCATTTGTGGTTGTCGACTAAATGTTAGAAGAATCACTTCTGGATAAAACCGATGATAATAAAGCAAAAAATGATGAGGAATGATGAGAGGAATAGTAGTATCAACTGATGAACTAGTAATGGAAGGATCTATCGTGAGACAGTTAAATCGTGATACAAATATGTGTAGATTTAAATGAGTGAGTTTAACCATGGCATCAAGGCATAAAGTTCCACTTCCCAAAAGGAAATATGCATTGTTTTGTTGCGATAAACGTGCCCACTCATGGCGAGGACTTTGATGTCTGTTGTGCTGATTCCTGTCATGAATCACCATCCCGTCTTTTTGTTGTTTTACTAATCTTTTTATTATTATTGTCCTCCTCAGTCAGCTCAGACTATCAGCCGGCCCGCAGCCTCTCCCTATCAGACCATCGGCCACATGGGGTTCCATGGGATCGGAGCGAGGACTCCTCCTGCAAACGACCCCCCGCCGCCCCCTGTCACTGGTTTGGCTCGTTTCCATCAGTCGCTGAGGACCCCCTACACTCTGAAGCTGCCCAATGAGCCGGGACGCCAGGAGCTCAGACACATCATCATAGATGGCAGCAACGTGGCTATGGCGTGAGTCTGCACCACACCCACCACACACATGCAAATATGAGCTGTCACGGCATGAAGCACCGTCTGGCCTTACATGGATCTATAAGAAGGATGAACTTTTCATACCAGACAGGACTATCCACACAAATTATTCTTACAAAGTTCAAAGGAACTATTTATCAGAAATAATGTTGTGTCATGGAAGTTGCACACCACTGAGAAATGGCAACTAAGAACCAGGCAAACATGCAAATGATGTCTCTATGATTTGAGAGGCTTAGCGCACCTCATACAGAGCAAAGTGTCGCCCTGGAGTTTTATCTGTTCTCTCTCATCTGTGCACTTGGGCACTTATCACTCTTTTTGATCAGGTGTCACTGAGCATTCGCAGTCAGGGGATTTTTTAGTTTATTTTTGCGTGTCTGCAGTGCACATAATATTAGCTCAGCTCAGAGGATATTGGTGTCACTTGTACTCTGCAGCTTCCTCCATTGAGAGCATTTCTATAAAATCGAAACAAAAATTCAGAAAAATTTGACCCTGATATGTGAGATGTTAACATGCATACAGTATTTACAGTAATAATGTTCATTTATTTATTTGCATATTTGGACTATACGACCTTTATCTTATTATCTTAACCTGTTTATATTTTGTTACCACCAATGCAATTATTAGTTCTACTTATCAGCCCTATCCTTTATTGATTCCTGATCATTTTTCTGCATTGAAAAGGGTTAGGGTTAGGACTAGACAGGTTCTTGGCATCAACACAACATGTTTTATTATTATTTATTATACAGTTTGACAAAGAGTATTTCCTGCACCGTAGACACACGAGTTTGACGTCATTATTTTACAATGCACGACTATCACTATCGATAGAAGGAATTAACATACTTGGAAGCATACAATTCTGATGGATCGGACAACCGGGTGATGGGAACCGGTGTATTTATGGAGATGAGCACCTGTCAACTGTTTGTGAAAATCGATACCAGGGAAACAGTTTACTGCTGAATATCTGGATCGGTATCAACATGCAAACATGATGACTCCTAGGGTGGGGCCTGTAACCATAGCAATGGCAAGACTAGTGGGAGTTTACCTGCACTCTATTACCAGTGTTTCACTCATCGGTTCCCCTCAACATTATAAAGACAGAATACCAGGTAAAAGGTGTCGAATTACTACATTTTCCGACTCAGCGTTTATTACTGGACGCCACACCTGTAGTGCATGCACCACATTTTTCCATCACCCTTCCCATCAATATCACCATCATCAGTTCTGGTGACACACACACACTCAGTGGTTCTCTCAAACGAAACAAACCATCTGTTACAGTGCGTAGGTGGCAGCTACAACCTTTATTGTGTAGGCGCACCAAAACTAGTCCTACACATCCATGTTATGTTGTTACTCATCAGTTTGTATGAGTGTGTGTGTGTGCGCGCCCGGCAGTGCGAAAAAGCAGTTGTAAAAACATGATATTGATGAGCGGGGGTGTAATACGGGGGTGTTTTTGAGAAGGAGGCCTTTTCTAGTAAAATCTGTATTTGCAGTTTCTGTGTTATCCAGAAATTGTGCAACAAAGAAGGACCGTCCTTCCTGCCGTTTGTGCGTATCGTATGAGAAGGGATATGGTGCAGTGTAATTGGTTTTTGGTTTCCTTTTTCCCTTCACTCTCAGCTGATGTGTCGTAACAGTCCTGGATGACCTTGTCTTGACTTCTCACTTTTGCAACCACTTCCTTTCACGTTCTCTCATTCCCTCCCTTTTCCCTCTCGCCCTCCCTTCCTCCTCACCAGAACTGTGCCTAAACAGAAAAGCACGGATCACCACTGACTCAGCATCGTCATGCAAGATCAAAGACGGCAAAGTGGTGTTTTTAAAACCACAGTACCCGCCCTCTTTTACTCTGTATGAATAGGCTACACGTGGATCTTTGAATCCAGTTGTTTATTTTTATTAAAAACAAAATCGGTTTATAATGATGTGCAGATTTTAGGATCAGTGTGCTGTTACATGAAACCCTTAGGCCAGTGGTTCCCGACCTTTTTCCTTAAGGGATCCCTTTTCTGTTATTCAGTAAACTGACTAACCCCTGACTGAGTGGAATATTTTATGGATATTTCCTGTTGTAGCGTAACAATAGCCGTACAGAACAAGCAGTGAACACAATAACTGCAGGCAGTTTGTAGAAAATGAGCAATTTTGATAAAGTTTTATCAGATTATTTCCTGTGAATATTGATCTTTTCCTGATATTTCTAGGTACTTTTTATACAATTCTGTCTGTAATATTTATTTTCTTTATTTATAACAATCATACATACTTAATGGGCTTCTTTTTTGACAAATTTAATGATTTATTCTCCATAAGGCTGGTCCATTGTTTGATTAAGTCTTTGGTCGTTTTAACTGCATACTTTTCCAGGACAAGATAATGAAGGTGCTTTGAATGTAGCTTGAACCTCAGAGGTATTTTAGGTTATGTAAACGTATTCTAATGAGCGCTGAGATGTTTTCCCTCATCGGGTTACGTCCACGTTTCCACGGTGATTTTTATTGGTTGCATAATCTCTTCCTGCTGTGGTGTCATTCGTCACGTTCTCTTTTAACAGCCGCTGGAACTTCCCTTGAGTTTGCATTGTGGCTCTCACCACTACCTGAAAAGGACCTTGTTCTATGTTGTGTCCGTCTGTCCGTCTGTGTGGTCTACCTTGTGTGTGTGTCACACTGTGCAAGTACATCAGATGAGTGTTCCACAGTATTTAAACACTTAAGTACTTCAGCCATCAAAAGGTAAATTGAGACACTTCATAATAGAAAATGATATTACCCTCTGGTTTCTTCTTAGTTATCATTAACATGAGAGATTGTTGTCAGTGTTTTAATATGGATTCACGTTGAGGTCAGTACTGTTTGTGGATCCTTCGTCCACATTCAGCTGTAGCTTAACAGACTAACGTTGGCTTATTGCATCACTATACGTGCGAGGGGTCCCACGCAACTTCTTTCTTTTTGTTTGGCCGGACCTTCGGTCACTGTTCTGGACACCTGCTAAATATTTTGTGTCAGACCTCCCGTGTTGCATGTGCCTTGCATCTGTGCTGTGCTGCAGCTCACGTGAGGCCAGATTGCTGATAAGTAACCAAGTGTGGAGGGGAGTTACCAGCAGAGATAAAAAACTGACAGGGGAAAAAAAGGGAATGAACAGAAGCTCCATTCATTAAGTGTAGAATAGTTTTTATGAGAAAGCAGAAGAAAGTGCTAAATCCTCTTCCACCACTAGTCTGACCTTTTTGATTCATCCTACCACCTAGAGGCGCTTCTAGTCTCAGCCAAGAGTTGTATTCCATCACATTTAGAAAACAGGGTATTGTGGAAACTAGGGCTGACCGATTAATCATATTTTCATCGTCATCGTGATATTAAGACCGCCTGAAACATGTACGGACGGGTGCAAAACCAGGTATTAAACGGGTGAGAGAGAGTCCGCGGTAGAGACAAAGAAGTGAAGTTAACTCTAAAATTACTTTATGAATAAACATGTTCAACAACATGTAGAGAATCAACATCCACTATGTTTTACACAAGCAATTGGGAATTGTTACAAACTAAAACAAAAGCTGTCTTTATCTTAGTTTGCCTCAGATCTTAAAATCTGGCAGATGTTTGTTTTAAACTGAGCTGCTGTCGCATCAGAAGAGGACAGATGACAGAGGACTTGTCGGGAATATGGTTTATTTTATTGACATTTTATATTTGATTCAGTGAGTTTTTTTATAGTGACTTTGTTGTTGTATCACTGTTGCTGCTACAGAAACATAGTTATATTTAAAATATTAATTTCTAATCCAGTTCTGAACTTAAAGACATCCGGGCTGTTTGCAGGAACTGTATATCGTCATCGCCTAGTGGCAGCCATGTTTTCCTGCTGCCAAATGATTACATAACTCCTCTACTGCAACTGTTATTTCAGATTTGGGACACAGAGTCAAACATTTCCCCTCAAAATAACCCTGTGTACACCTAGATTCCCCCAGCATAAAAGTAGGTTCGATGTCTGCTCTATTTATCCTGACCTCATGATGGGTTTGGAGGCATAGAATTTCCTTTAGCACAAACACCTGAAAGCATCAAATAATAAAATACCAAAATGCTCTGATAAAAATAAATAAAACATTTAAAAATGAGTCATTTCTGAGGATGCCAGCGGTGTTTTGGTTCTGTGGCTAGCAGCAGCAGCAGCAGCTTCCTGCTCTCAGGGAGTTTCTCATCTCTCTTGGTGTTTGTTGTTTGTGTTGTTTTGTGGTTTTCTGTCCTAGCTACGCATTTGTTGTATTATAGCTGTCTGACGTGCACGTACAGGCCATGCACGTCATCACCAGCAATCTGTGTCAGCTGATGGTGTGACATGTAGTATATGTGTGTGTGTGAGTGCTATTTTGTACAGGGGGCCATTTAAAATAATTCCCAGGTTTGTCATTGCCATGGAAACCAGTATAGACTAGTTTGGCATGCAGTGCTGTCCTGCTAATATTTGAAATATTCTTTAAAATGATTCTGGTTTGTTTCTTATTCTGATTCTCTAATGGCCAGAGGTGCTATTAGAGCAGGCTGGACAAAATGCTAGAACATCACTGCATTGTGATTTCTCTTACTCTTTACTATAATACTAATTCTGACAACTTAACTCCTAGAATCTTCCAATACGAGGACTAATACCATACTAGTGCCCTCAGCTTACACAGTCCTCTGCAGTCAGATGTTTCCATTTAATATGCAGCTTTTTTTCTCCTTTTCAACTTCTTCTGTCGGGTCATGCCACTTGAAACCTTCAGTGCAGTGCAAAGATATTTGAACCACTTTGTATCAGTCCTGGACCTCTGGCTGATTTTAGCTGCGTCTCCTCACTGTGTCCCTCCTCTTCTTTTTGTCTCTCCAGTCACGGTCTTCATCGGTTCTTCTCCTGTCGAGGAATAGCGCTGGCTGTGGAGACGTTTTGGAGGCGGGGCCACAGGGAGATCACCGTATTTGTCCCTCAGTGGCGTCAGAAGAGAGACCGACTCACAACAGGTACTTTCTTTGTTTATACACACTGTGTCCAATTAAAACTATACACAGAGCCAAAACCCCCAAATCTGTCCTGATAGTCTTTAACATGTTACTGGGTCCAGTTTAAAATGGAAATAACTTATTGAATTATATATTATTTCATTCCAAGAGTCCCGGTAATACAAACTTTTGAATCAACTTTTCACAAATGTGTGTGTTTTCTTTTCTTATTTCCATTTGATTGTCATGTAATATGAATTTAATTGTCGTCAATTTATCACAGAGCAACATTTTCTAAACCAACTAGAAGACCTGAGACTGCTCTCCTTCACTCCCTCCAGAGAGGTCTGCGGCCAGAGGATATCCTCACATGACGACAGGTACACACACACACACACACACACACTATGATTAAAGCAGACATCTTTCAGGAGAGCGTCCACCTGTCATGAATTTTTTATATCTAGACAGTGGTAAGTGGCAGACAAAGTGTTGCAGTCATAGAGCAGTGGGGGAAACACATGCTTCCTCAGAGCCGGGTATTGAACCTCTTGGTTATCTCTGGGCATTTTGGTTCCATTATGAACTTATCTCCTCCTACACAACTGTCTAACCCTGTGTCCATTACTCTCACCCCACTCATCACCAGCTACAGTCATACTATAGTTTCATAATAGAAATGAGTAAGCTCACTAACCAGAGGACTCATCCGACAGATGTCTGGTAAAATGTGGTGTTATGATTTATTTTATTTTTTATTTTTGTGGAGGTTTCAAGGCCTGATTGTGAGTTTTGAAAGCCAATTAGTGTAGCAGTAGGGTAAACATAGGCGTTACCAGTGATTCTACAGCTCTGTTTAGTGTAGCAGAGCCTTTCAGGTGAGTCAGCATGCACAATAGCAGCACCCTGACTCTGTTTGACCTGAATGGAACTGAACCATATTGGTAACACCTGTGTTTACCCTGTTGTTTGATGTCAAAGTCTATTCTTGATTGGTTCAAGGATAGACTTTGACATTTAAAAAAAAAATAAAAATTGTTGTCCCCCATTAATTACTGAGAAGGAAAAGGCTCCAGGTCGGAAAATATCTTTAAAGCAGCTATACCAGTCCTCAGATATATCAGCTCAATTTGGGGATGGTAAAAAATAAAACTCATCCTGACTCAGCATAAAAGGTGTTCCTCTACCGGTGGATTTCCCCCCCCCCCCCCCCCCC